GAGGTCGTGGCCTTTATAATGAACTACATACTTGTTTCATCTCTCGCAAAACAACATGTTGTCAGCCCTGTTCGTAGTATTGAAAATTTCGTTAAACCGAGTTTTATTTATAACAAGGCTTGTCTACTCAAAATCTATTGAAATAACAGCTCTTATATGTTTGGACAATGCCTTAAACAAAGGTTTAAAAAACAAGTAGAATCTTTTTTTAATTTTTTTTTCAGACTAGGTATTTTTAACCTTATTCCGGGAAAGTATTTTTTCTTGGGGGACGGAAGCGGATATTTGACCCAAAAGCCCCGATCCAGGGTCCGGACACACTAAACCGATACTCGGATATAAGACCCAAAGTCTGAGTCCAGGACCCGGATAATGAAAAGCTAATGAAAATACCTATTCAACAAGTGGTCGCATGATTGGGTTATTTAAAACAGTTCCGAAGTTCTATCGAAATTATTGATTTTTTGGACCCGGACTTTGGGAGTTCATAAAATGTATGCTGACACTATAAGCGTTCAAAAAATGTTACGATATGTGTAATTATCTTTCTTGGATCCAGAGATATGGGTCTTTGAACCCGGACGAGCCGATTATGTTCAGCTTTAATTAACTCCATCAAGGTACCACTTGTGGGATTGGCATAATATTTAAATATTGTCCACATCGTTTTAGCAGGTACGGGCCCAACCCGGTCTTGGACCCAGCTTTCGAGTCAAATATCCGAGTATCCGGGTTCATCTCACAAGAAAAAATACTTTCCCGGAATCAGGGTGCAAAGGCCTTGTTCTGAAATTATCTCAATATTAGATGGCTATCTATATTATTTTGATGCAACCATTGTATACACATTTCAAAAAGTTTTACAGCATTGTTATGCTTAATTCCCGGATGATCTTCTAAAGGAATATTGTCTTCACCATTAATATCAGTCTTATCATCAAACAAAAAAATACATTGTTGGGGAATCCCCTTTTATACATCATGGGCTTTTAATAGTGGCACAAATGTCATTTCACACTCATTGTTTTTTCTCATTCAGTAGCAACATCACTTCGCTCTCTTTCTCATTCGAGTACAAATGTTTTTAATTTTCGTAAATAATTAAATTTTTTTAAAAGTTCGTTAAATACCGAATTCGTAAAAACGGTTCGTTAAGTCGGAAAACTACCGTATATGGTTCACATCGTTTATAAAACCACTGATAGGTCTAATCGCGCTGATCATGTCAATATGTCTTGGAAAAACCATTTTTCACAACATAAAGGCACCACAAGTTCTGGAAAACTCCGGAACCATATTTTTACATAAAGCAAATTGTATGCAACAATTTTAGCACCTCATTTATTATTCGTAATTTTTATTTATTTTCGTGGTCTTGCCGGCTTTTTGTACATCGGCTTAAACTATGTTTAGTGGTTGTTATAACTGTGACACGACTTATTAAAAGTAAGATAAAGTTTATGAAAATAAGTGCGTCCTCGGCCGGACTTAAGAATTTGTCTCATGGACCTGACAAAACTCAACTACTTCAACAAATTTTCTTTTTATTTTTTTTTTTTTTAAATTATTACTGTTTTTGAAAATAGCTAACCTGCGATTGCAAATTCGTATACCATTATAGGCGAAACACTATAGGCCTGTTTAAAAAATGTGTGTGGTATTTGAAATTGTTGATCAATACGAAGATACCTCACATATTCCGGTATAACTAGTTCTATGATCTATGAAATTGTATTTGTTTCCGGTCCAAACCATTTCAGCAATTAGTTGTTTTTAATAGACGTTATCACTATCAACACCTAGTGAAATTGAAACTTCCCCTCTGTCCATTCAGTTACAGTTACATTAATAAATAATTTAGAAATAGTGGTTAATAACGAACGTTCTGTAAGTACATTGTAGGCGAGGGGGAACTCAAAGATCACGAAGCGAATCAATGACGTTACGTGCAATTTCATCTACACAAATCAATCCAACAATTCAATGGAATGCATGTACGTAATAGCTGTCTGTCTGCTACGACTAGAAAGCAAATCTTGTTTGTGCGTGTGTCTGTTGTATGTGCTGGCATGTGCAAAAAACAATACAATTTTTTTATGTCAATTTCGAGAATAATAGCGACACCATACATAACATCATGAAGAAAACAATGGAAAAATCTATAATTTGTTGATGATTTGATGTTTTTGTTATTGCTCTTATATATTCACTGCTAACCATTAAACATTTTTCAAGGCTTTGTCGGTGTGGCTTTTTCTGGTTATTTTTTTCTCTTGGTTTCACTTCAATCACTTCCTATTTTCTATAACTTTTGCTGCGTTATAAAATGGATCTTAGCTCTCAATTTAATTCTTCTATTTGTTAAATCTTTTTTAGATTCGTTAACAATTGCATTAAGGTAACGCTGCTTATTAAATATTTGAAATTGTTTCGCGATTTGTCTAGAAATAAATAGCTTGCTTAAACAAGTACGTAGTTAAGCCGAAAAACTTCTATTACAGATATGTGCAAAACATATTTTGTTTAACCTGTATTTTGTTGTTGGTATCAATACCTGTATTTAAAATCAGCTGTTTTTAATAGTGGTTTTTGCATTGTTGTATATCTATGAGGTAAATACAACTCTAGTGCTATACACTTGAAAAAATGAGACCGCAAAATTGCGAACAAATACGTGTCAAAATTTTGAAACTTTTTACGCCAAAAGTGTTTTTGTATACAAAGTAACATTGTAATTCAAATCCCCTTGAATTAATGGTATCATGGTTTCTCCCATGGTACAACAAAAAACTAAGGTAGAGCTACCAACTGATTACAATTTTTTTATATATGTGACTTCTGCCAATTTTGTGTATGTATTTATTGTTTTGAAAAATTAAAACAAAATATTTTCAAAATTAAGGATTGAAAGAGACGTATATTGCTGTTCGAGCATTAAAGCTATTTTCCAGTTTTGCCATGGATTTGAAAGATCAAGTTGTTTAGATCATATTTATTTAACTCTTTTTAAAAATGTGTAAAAATATCGAATAAATGAAAAAACTTGTTGCATGCAAATTTGACAGGAAGCGGGCATGGCCTCTTAGCTGTATTCCGTAGTTTTGCGAAGCTGTTCTACCTCTTTATTGTACCATGGGTTCTCCTCTTCTTTATATCCTCCGCAATGGAAGTACATTTTCCTTTTTCCTTATTTTTGAAATTTATAAATCCATTGTATATAAATCAAAGATGGGAACCAGTTTTTAATTCATTGAAATTTGACAAGGTAAATTACAGAAAATGCAGAGATGGATAGTCTTCTTTCAAACGACTTTACTTTCTTAATTTTACAATGCAAATACCATTGTAGATCCCCTTTTGTGATACGGAAATATATTTTTGCATTTTATAGCGCTTTTAGATACAAAATGTTTTCCGAATTTATAGCTTAACTAGCTGAACCCGATGCGCTTCACTATCCCTTTTGATTTTATATTCATCCCAAATTTTATATTCAAATATTTGTTGTTTTAAAAACAAATAAATAATAATAGTAATAACAAAACAACGCAAGCACATGACAGGAACAGCTGACTATGAGAAAATCAGAAGCATACCAAATTTAGTCCGCATACACCAAGGATTTGTCCTTCGGATTTATAAGTTTTATAGCAAATGCCATGCCAACATACTTCCCCCTTACTCATAATAATCTTCACCGATTATTGTAACTAAATACCGCCACACATTCAGAATTTTACTGGAATCGAACATACATATCGTGGTTGGTGTATCAAATAAACGAAATAGGTCGAAAAATATATGGGAGCTATATCCAAATCTCCGATTTCAATATATGATGGCAAATTTATTTTTTGACAAATTCCATCACTCATTCCAAATTACATTTGAGTCGAACACACATATCGTGTTTGGTGCATCAAAAAGTGCAAGAACTTACAACGAAACAGAAAAAAATAGACTCAAAAGAGAGTTGCTTCCATGGCAGAAAAATACCGGTATATGCATCAACGCTTGGGAGCATTGATATGTCAAAAAAATTTAAATGTTTTTTCAAATATAAGTAGAGTTTTAAATTTTTTCTTATGCGACGTCATTCGGAGGTTATTATAATGCGCGTTTTTTTCAACAATTTTTACAAATTTAAATAATTTTTCATTCAAAATTTTTAATTCTAAATTTGGTTTGACAGTTCATAGTCCCAGCAGCTGTTTTGATGCGTCTACCTATATTCTTCTACCATGGTTGCTTCGCTTGGCCAAAAGTGGTGAACTCCCGAATTTGGTTTTCTCCGATGATAAAACATTCGTTGTCCAGCAGTTTGTAAACAAACAAAATGATCGTGTTTACTTGCCAAAGAGGTCAGCTGAAAACGCGCACCTACGGTTGGCCACCAGAACTCAAGCGCCGGCCATGGTGATGGTGTGGGCAGCCATAACAGCCGATGGCCGCTCTCCGCTCGTAATAAATGTCGAATATTATAGCGAAAATATTCTGGAGAGTGTACTAAAGTCTTCGGCACGTAAATATTTTGGCCGCAGACCTTGGACATTTGAACAGGACTCAGCACCATCGCACTCAGCACGCGCCACCCAAGAATGGTTACAAAATGAGGTTCCTCGCTTCATTTCCAGCGCTCAATGGCCACCAAAATCTCCGGATACAAATCCGTTGGACTATTGTGTCTGGAGTAATTTGGCAAGCAAGGTTGGCACTAAAAAATTTGTGACTTTGGAGTGTAGCACTGTACCAGTATAAAAACGCAGTGATGCATTCTGTTATTATTAATACTCCGCACATGATTTCAAATAATTCTGTAGTGAAAAGATATATTTTTATGGTAATACTATGGCCAAAAAAAATTGGATTAAGCAATAAATCCTAAAAATGTTAAAATTACCTGGATAAAATTACGCATTTAAAAGCGCTATTTAACACCTCCGAAAATAAATTAAGCAAATAACTTCGAATCACAGCCATCATTTATTTACATATTTTTTCCATAGAAATGAATGCGCTTAAAACAAAAATTAACTAAATCTTGGCATTCTTCCACCTCGACGTCGTATTACATTACGAATCCATCTGTTTAATCTTCTTATATTTGTGTAGACTCCCGGAAATCTTGGACGAGCACATCCAATACCAAAAGATACAATTCCATATTGTATTCGTCTACGCACAATGGGCCCGCCAGAATCACCTTGACACGTATCTCTCTGCGGTGTTGTGGCACAAAACATAAAATGAGTAATGGGAACACCGGCTCTGGCATATTTTGCCCGACACCGTCTTCGATTGAGCCTGTCAATTGTTACACCTCTTAAACGCTGTGTTGCTGATCCACCTTCTCGACGCGAACCCCAACCACTAACAAAAAATCGTTGTGGCAGACGCCTTCCTGTGCGTGTCAGCACTATGGGTCTTACGAATCGATTAAATATAAAACGTCGATTTACACGGATCATAGCAATATCGCGATTGGCTGTATAAGTATTATATCGAGCATGCATAACCACAAGACGGGCCCGTCTAATTTGTCCACCCCGATTGGCATATGACGAACCGGCACGAACAGCAAATCTGCCACCGCCTTCAACACAATGTGCTGCCGTCAGTACCCAATCAGCACTTATTATCGATCCACCACAAATGAAATATCCATTGTCGTAGAGCGCAACCTGCCACGGCACCTGTCGAATATTAATTGGTCTACCGCCAACTATACGCGTTCCGTTGACATTGTAGATTTTCGGATCAAAATAATCCAAGTCATCAATGCCCTTTTGGAATAAGGTAACGTTTCGTAATTGTGCCAAACTATATTTAATGTTGAGAAAAAATATGAAACCGACTAGAAAAATATGTCCGTAGCACCACATCTCGACGTTTTGATTACGCGTTTCAAAATGATTCGAAAGAAGAGGCCATCCTAACTTTGATTTACATTCTTGCTCATGAATATGTAATAACTTTGACCTAATAGCTAATCATATTCGAATTTAAATTAGTAAACAAAAGGTGATATTTGAAAGTCTTCTCTCGCATTAGGTGATGATTCTGATCCGTGTCCCTGAGAGTGTCGCATTCTTTTCTCTTGTTCTTATCAAAATCATTCATATTGTAAGAGCAAGTAATTGTAAAAAGCAAGTAATTGTTATGTCTTGCATTTCACTTGTACTTTGCAGTGACATTAAAACGATCAAGGACCTTGGCTGCTGCCTACCATGCACCAGCAAAGTCAGATTGGTGTCATTAGGTGTTACTATAACTTTTCCCGTAAATCTTTCTCAGAATTTCCTTTCGCAACAAAAGAGCTTTTTTTCAAAATCTACGTGTTGCTGTACAACAAACGTTACTACAAACACACATATAAATTTGTTTTTGTTCGTAAAAAAGCGTCCAAAAAATGTAAACAAAACAAATAATTTTGAATAAATTATTTTGACTTCGAAAAAGTACATTTTTGGAATTTGGATTATTAATTTTAAAATGCAGAAAAGTGGTTCTTAAAATATTTCATTTTAATGTTTTCATATCATTCACCTGAATTTATAGCTTTTAGTTGTAGTCAAGCTTCAACACTTCAAGCAATCAATATCAAATTATAAGGAAAAACGACGGCAGGATTCGATTGCGGATTTATGATATGACACATAATATGCCATGCGAAGACTTCAATCTGTTTATGTACTCTCACCTTTATGCCACCAGACAAGAAACTTACATTTACAGGGTGAGATAAAAAAACTGCAACCAACTTCAGACTGCTGTCTAAGCCACTCTTCCGACAGTTGTTAAAATTATTCCACTGACAGCTCATTATATTGTTTAGAAGCGTGCAAAAGTATTTTGGTGAGAATTTTCCAGAAAAAAAGTTATTCGTGATGGAATTCAAGCGTGATAGTGTGATTTATTTATATTTGGCTGGAAAACCACAAGTGGCTATCGATAGAGCACTCCAGCATTTAAATGTAAATAAATTTTTTGTGTCTCGTACCATCGCTCGTTGACGTGTACTGGTAGCGTAGCCCGACGTCAAGGAAGTGGACGGAAGAAAACAGCAACATCAGCAGAAATGGTTCGAAAAGCAAAGAAGGGACTTGAACGAAACCCGCGTCGCAGTAGCCGAAAAATGGCTCGTGAGCTGAACATATCGCAATATTCCATTCGGCAAATATTGAAAAATGAGCTCGGGGTAAAGCCATTGAAATTCAAAAAAGTGCAAGAACTTACATAGACTCAAAAAATCTAAAGAATTGCTTCGCTTAGCCGAAAGTTGTGAACTGTCGAATTTAATTTTATCCGATGAGAAAACATTCGTTGTCCAACAGTTTGTAAACAAACAAAATGATCGTGTTAACGTGCCAAAGAAGTCAGCTGAAAATGTGCACCTTCGGTTGCCACTAGAACTCAAGCCCCCCCAAAGTGATAGTATGGGCCGCCATAACAGCCGATGGTCGCTCTGCGATCGTATTAACTGACCGTGGTATCAGAATAAATGCCGAATATTATGGCGATAATATTCTGGAGGTTGTATTAAGGCCTTGGGCAACATTTTGCCGCAGACCTTGGACATTCCAACAGGACTCAGCACCATCGCACTCAGCACGCGTCACCCAAGCGTGGTTACAAAATTAGGTTCTTTTCTTCATTTTTAGCGCACAATGGCCACCAAAATCTCCGGATACCAATCCGTTGGACTATTGTGTCTGTAGTATTTTAGAAAGCAAGTTTGGTACTAAAAAAATACCAAAGTGTCGATCACCTCAAGCGCAAGCGCTTCGTCGGGAATGGGCCAAAATACCGGAGAGCCGCATTCGGTCAACGTGTGACGGTTTCATTGGCCGTTTGAAGACCATAATTCGTCTCAAAGGCAACCAATTCGAGCAAATCTAAACTTTTAAGGTGGGAATACTTAAAGCGCTTATCTGGCTGGCTTAAGTCATCGGCTGGCTTCTTCGGAAAGCAGCCTAGGGCCAAAATCGAACTAAGTCAACCTAAAACTCCTTTGTTCATCTACGAAGAAGCCAGTCGATGACTTAAGCTAGCCAAAGATGTGCTCTATGTATTTCCACCCATGGTACAATGAATTCAAGGTAGGGCAGAACTACCATAGGATTTAAATTTTTTTATTTTCTGGCTTTATATGTCAACATTATTTTCAATAATAAAACAAATTGTTCAGAAAATATTAAAATTCGGGTGTTTTCAAAATGCTTATTGCAACGAATGCATCGACAAAATCTACAGTTTTTGTCGCGAAATAAACCATAAGAGATATATGGAACATGCTTTTGAAAGAAATTTTGACCTTTCATTCAGTTTTCGCGGTTTTAAATTATTTATTCAAAATCAATGCAACAAGTTGTTTGCTTTTTTATTGTTTTGATGGTAATTCTGACATTACAAGCCAAACAGGTAGACCTCTATACTTGCAACTTTTTCAAAGTTAATTTCCGAAGAAGCCAGCCGATAACTTAAGCCAGCCAAATAAGCGCTTTATGTATTCCCAGCTTTAGCCTAACTTGTCTTCATTGTACCATGTTTCCACCCTTATTCCAAAATTTCATGCTATTTCCGATATTTGTTGCTTTCATTCAATCAAAGTTAAAAAATGTAAAAATAAATTATGGCGTTTGACTTTGTTGCAGTTTTTTATCTCACACTGTACATAGTGACGTAGGTTATCATATCTCCCGCTTGTCTTTTGTTCTTTTCTCTTCTTTTTTATTGTCTTTTATAATTGATTCTTTAATATACAATGATGTTTGGAATTATTTGAATTTTGGCATTTTTCCACCCCAACGTCTCACCACCTTTCGGATCCATTTATTTAATCGCCGAATATTTGTATAAACTCCAGGATATTTTGGACGTGCACAGCCAATACCAAACGACACAATACCATAAAGGATTCGTCGTCGAACCAATGGCCCGCCAGAGTCACCCTGGCAAGCATCTTTTTTCGGTTGCGTTGCACAGATCATAAACTTGGTTATTTTCATTCCTTTTTTGTGATATTTTCCTCGACACTTTCGGCGCGACATTTTCTGCAAACCAACGCCTCTTAAACGATTCGGTACCCGTCCATTTTCACTGATTCTACCCCAGCCACTTACGAAAAGTTTTTTCGGCAAACGTCTTCGACTTCGCGCAATAGCAATGGGCCGCACAAAATTGGTAATACGAAATCTGGTGTAAACACGAATTAAGGCAATATCTCGACTTCCGGTGCGAGCACTGTAGCCGGCATGTACAACAACAAGACGAGCCCAGCGTATTTGGCCGCCACGATTAAGATATGGTGAACCGGCTCGAATAGCAAAGCTACCACCTCCTTCAGCGCAATGTGCTGCCGTCACAACCCAGTCAGGGCTTATTATAGATCCGCCACAAATGAAATATCCATCATTGTATAGAGCAACTTGCCACGGTACCTGACGTATATTAATCGGCTTTCCTCCGACTATCCGTGTATTGTTGCCTTTGTTAAGTTTCGTTTTGGTAATGTAATTGAATCCATCTAGATCCTCTCCCAAAAGTGTAGTGTTTGAAATTTGTCCACTGGCGTTTTCAATTTGTAGGATAAGCCGCACACAGATTAATATGATCTTCAGCCTCCACATCTTGGTGTTGTAATAACTACCAATAACAGTCGCTAAAAACTTGAAGGGTGTGCAAGCGAAAATTAAGAAATTCTTCGCAAATTGGGAATACCATTTTGATGTCTGCGGTATTAAAAATGATTAATGTTGTCCAAATATCTACAAACATATTCATATGTGTATGTATGCATGTAATCCATGCTCTTCTCTGGCTTGTAAGAACGATAGCTTCTGGTCTCGTCTCAATCATAAAATGCTAACAAAATGTAGACAAAAATGTGCATATCAAACCACTGATTGTGTTTGTTGTAAAGATGTTATTAGGTCAGAAAGGTCAGTTATATTGGTGATTATTAATAAGTTAATAACTTGCTTAATATTTTGACTCGCAGTCAAGCAAATTTAATGCATGTTAAGACTAATAATAATTGTTAGGCATTTGCAAAACATGCACGGAAGCCAGCGTTCAGATAGAAAGCGTTTAAGAAATTACGCTACTATTTCAAATAAAAGACTGGTGAGAGAGCGTGTATCATCAACACACTTACTTTACTATGCTATGTAAAAGGTCCTAAAGTCTTGAATATGGTTATTCATATTTTGCCAATTAATCATGGTAGAAGAATATAGGTAGACGCATCGACGCAGCTGCTGGGACAATGAACTGTCAAACCAATTTTGGAATTGAAAATGTTGAATGAAAAGTTATTTAAATTTGTAAAAATCGTTGAAAAACACGCATTAAAATAACCTCCACACGACGTTGTATTAGAAAAAATATAAAAAAATACTTACATTTGAAAAGAAACTAAAATAATTTTGACATATCAATGCTCCCAAGCGTTGATGCATTTACCTGTATTTTTCTACCATGCAATTAATGTACCTAATTGTCCTGTATTTTTTGAAAAGCATGCTTAAAGTACGTTTAGATTTACGAAATACATTCGATCATAGCACACACGTCAAATAATATCCAATAGGTTTATGAATACGATTTACGTGACGTTTATGAATACGATTTACGTAAATTGTGGAATTGATTTTTCAAATCACGTGGCTTTAGTAGTCTAAACGTGCTCTTTTGGTGAGAATACATAATTTTTTTTTTGACTGGCTACTTTGGAAAAGAACAAAGGAGCGTAGGGTTAGTAAATATAAATTATGGGCCGAAATCGAACTAAGTCAACCTAAAATTATTTTGCTCTTTTACGAATAAGCTAGCCGTTGACTTAAGCCATTAAAAAAGCGTTTATGTATTATCACCTTTAAGCCATTAAAAGTAGCTTCTTATGTACTTGCACCTTTAGACTTACTAAATAGCATGGTAGTGGAATACAGGTAGATGCATAAGGGTGGGAATACATAAGGCGTTTATTTGGCTGGCATATGTCATCGGCTGGCTTCTTCGGAAATGAACAAAGGAGCCAAGGACCAAAATCGAACTAAGTTAACCTAAAACTCCTATGTTCCTCTACGAAGAAGCCAGCCGATGACTTAAGCCATCCAAATAAGCGCCTTATGCATTTGAAACATTGAAACGTCAAAAATTGTATGTATGTTATGATATGTATTTTCCAACAAATTTTTCGAGTTTGAATAATTTTTCATTGAAATATTTCAATTTCAAATTTTTTTGGACAGTTCATTATCCCTTAATCTAATTGGCCTTAAAGGTGAGAATACCTAAAACACTTTTTTGACTATCTTAAGTCATTGGCATTGTACAATTAAGAAGGTAAAGTCTTCTTCATAAAATAACTAGGAGTGAAGGGTTGATGAGTATACATTATGGGATGAAATTGAACTATGTCAACCTAAAGCCCCATTGTTCTTTTACGAAAAAATCATCGGACTTAGGCCTACCACAAAAGGGTATTATGTATTCTCACCCTTATTTTATTGCAGGAAATTACCAGCGTAAAGATGAGAATACATAAAACGCTTTTTTGAGTGCCTTATATCATCGGCTGGCTTCTTCGTAGAGGAAAAAAGGAGTTTTAGGTTGCCTTAGTTTTGGCGTTAGCCAGCTGGTGACTTAAGCCATTAAAAACCAGTAAAGAAAGTCTTAAAGTCGGGCGGGGTACCCTACACCACTTTGCTAATTTAGTTGAGCTCCACTTAATAATTAAAAGTTTTTATGGGAGAATTCACTCATAACAAATACAATAAATCGGATGAAAAATATATATATGAGCTATAACTATATCTGAACCGATCTTCACCAAATTCTAGATTAAATTCGGTCGTATGTGCCAAATTCCATCCCATTTGGACAAATATTAGACGTTTGGTGCACAATATATGGTAAATCGGACGAAGTTATATATGGGAGCTATATCCAAATCTGAACCGATCTCGATAAAATTTAGCAAAGGTATTTCTGAGCTGCATTTGATATATTTCCCCAAATATTGTTGTTACAGAGTGCATATTACGGCTGCGGAGGACAAAAATAACAAATCGGATGAACAATATATATGGGAGCTATAGCTATATCTGAACCGATTTCGATAAAATTTGGCATACTTATTTTCAGGCCTAATTTGGTTGTATTTGCAAAATTCCATACTATTCGGGCTGATATTACACGTTTGGTGCACAATAAAAGGCAAATCGGACGAAGATATATATGGGAGCTATATCTAAATGTTGACCGAGTATCTCCAATTTCAATAGGGTTCGTCCTTGGGCCAAACAAATGATTCGTGCAAAATTTCATCTCAATCGGATAATAAATGCGACCTGCATTTTGTTCACAAGAATACATGGACAGACGGACGGACGGACGGACAGACGGACTGACATGCATAAATCAACTCAGAAAGTGATTCTCTGCAGATCATCAAAAGGAACTATGGGTCTATCTCGTTTCCTTTTGCCTGTTACAAATAAAAGCACAAAGACATTATACCCTGACCACCTTGCGGTGTAGGGTATAAAAAACTTCCATGTACTCTCACCTTAATGTGCCGTTTATAAAGAGCTGAACATATCGCAATATTCCATTCGGCAAATATTGAAAAATGAGGTCGGGGTAAAGCCATTAAAATTCCAAAAAGTGCAAGAACTTACACCGCTACAGAAAGAAAATAGACTCAAAAGAGTTAAAGTGTTGCATCGCTTGGCCGAAAGTGGTGAACTGCCGAATTCGGTTTTCTCCGGTGAAAAAACATTCGTTGTTTAGCAGTTTGTAAAGAAACAAAATGATCGAGTTTACTTGCCAAAGAGGTCAGCTGAAAATGTGCACCTTCGAATAGCCACCAGAACTCAAGCGCCGGCCATGGCGATGGTGTGGGTCGCCATAACAGCCGAGTGCCGCTCTCCGCTCGTATTAATCGACCGTAGCATCAGAATAAATGCCAAATATTATTGCAAAAATATTCTGGAGGGTGTATTAACGCCTTGGGCACGCAAACACTTTGGCTGCAGACCTTGGACATTTCAACAGGACTCAGCACGCGCCACCCGAGAATGGTTACAAAATGAGGTTCCTCGCTTCTTTTCCAGCACACAATGGCCAACAAAATCTCCGGATACCAATTCGTTGGACTATTGTGTCTGGAGTATTTTGGAAAGCAAGGTTGTCACTAAAAAATACCAAAGTGTCGATCACCTCAAGCAAAAGCTTCGCCGGGAATGGGCCAAAACTCCACAGAACAACATTCGAGCAGCGTGTGACGGTTTCATTGGCCGTTTGAAGGCCATAATTCGTGCCAAAGGTGACCAATTCGAACAAATCTAAACTTATTCTAAAATTTGATGCTATTTCCGATGTTTTTTGCTTTCATTCAATAACATTTAAAAAAATGTAAAAATTATGGCGTTTGACTTTGTTGCAGTTTTTTTATCTCACGCTGTATAAATCCATTGTACATACACATATCAGAGATGGGATCCTGTTTTCTATGCAGTAAAATTGGACAAGGTAAATTACAGATAATGCAGAAATGAAAATGCTTATTTGAAATTACTTTATCTTCTTAATTTTACATAAAACGCCTTTTTGTATGAATAAATCCTGATTAAGCAATAAATTCTGAAAATGTGGGTGTATCTAAACGCACTATAACATATCATTGTTTTGAGGAGCGACTCTACAAATACATATTTGACATAAATTATTTTTCCATAACTTTTTTGTCCAGTCTTTTATTGTACCATACTTAGGCTGGAAATACATAAAGAGCATATTTCGCCGGCTTAAGTCATCGGCTGGCTTCTTCGTAGATGAACAAAGAAGTTTTAGGTTGACTTAGTTCGATTTTGGTCCTAGGCTCCTTTGTTCATTTCCGAAGAAGCCAGCCGATGACTTAAGCCAGTCAGAAAAGCCTTTTATGTGCTTGCACCTTTACGTTTAGTCATGGTACAATAAAAAGGTAAGGTAGAGCTAACAGCTGATTAAAATTTGTTTCTAAAGCTGAGAATACATAAAGCGCTTATTTGACTGGCTTAAGTCATCGGCTGGCTTCTTCGTAGAAGAACAAAGGAGTTTTAGGTTGACTTAGTTCGATTTTGACCCTAGGCTCCTTTATTCATTTCCGAAGAAGCCAGCCGATGACTTAAGCCAGCCAAATAAGCGCTTTATGTATTCCCAGCTTAAGTGTGCCCGACTTCTGCCAATTTTGTGTATGTATTTATTGTTTTGAAAAACAAAAACAAAATATTTTCAAAATTAATGATTGGAAGAAACGTAAATTGCGGGATGCACATTAAACCTATTCGTAAGTTTTGCCATGGAATTGAAAGATCGAACAGTTTAGATCATGCTTTTGAAAGAAAATCCAGGCATTTCATTAATTTTTCGCGCTACATAACTCAATTTAAAAATGAGGAAAAATATATAATAAATGGAAACAACTTTTTGAATGTAAATTTGACAGGAAGCGGGCATAGCCTCAGGGGTGTATTTCTATAGTTTTACGAAACTGTTCTACCTCCTTATTGTACCATGCTTTTATTATCTTTTGTTTTGTATGCAAATATCATATGTATATCCATTTGCCGAATGAACATTTTAACAAGAATATTCACCATAAATATGTATATGCAAAATATTGACTTTTTCTTGCTAATTTTGTACGTTTTTGGCCACAAATTCGCAATAAATATATGCATGCACATATATAATTTATGTTATCTAAAATGATTAGTTCGAAGAGATACAGAAACAGAATTAAAAACTCAATCAACACTTTACTATGGAATGGAACCAATGGAAATATTTCCCTTTCTTCAGTTCGGTATTTTTCTTCCAATAGTCACAATGCGGTTGGGGACATTTATGATCGGTTTAATAGCATTTTTTGTCCAATATCTCGAACTTACAACAGCACAACTGGCACAAAATGAAAGATTTTCAGCAGAGCGTAATGCGAGCGGAGTGCGTATAGTTGGCGGACAGGCAATCAATATACGTCGAGTGCCGTGGCAAGCTGCCGTTCTAAGAAATGGCATTTTCATATGTGGTGGATCCGTAATAAGTCGTGATTGGGTTCTAACGGCTGGTCATTGTGTGGCCCTTGGCGGAGCATTTGCTGTACGCGCTGGCTCCACCTTTTTATATCGACACGGACAGTATAGAGTGGCTAGGTTAGTCGTTCTCCATGCAGCATTCAATCCCAATACATATGCCAGTGATATTGGTATGATACGTGTAAGGAACAGTTTTCTACTTACAAGGAATCTCCGGCCCATTGCACTTGCTAGACGTGGACGAAGATTGCCCCAACGGTTTTACGTTAGTGGTTGGGGTAGTGTCGCATATGGTGGCTCGACAACGGATCGTTTGAGGGGCGTCACAGTTGCCAGATATAATCGAAATCAGTGTATACAAAGATATCTAAGTACAGGTTTTCTAATTACCAATACAATGCTGTGTGCTGGCCAACCTGGCAGAGATGTGTGTCAAGGTGACTCTGGTGGACCATTAGTTCGAAATCGCATTCAATATGGTATTGTGTCGGTTGGAATGCAGTGTTCAAATCCACCCAGTGTTTTTACAAATGTCAGGATAATGAACCATTGGATAAGGCGCAATGTAAATCGCTGGGGAGGAAGAATGCCAAGATTTATGTAGTTGTTGCTTTTGTTGTTACTCACAAAAATAAAAAGTTAAATAAAAATATTTTTAATCAAATGTATATGTCATATGTTCTGTATGTATATGTTCTGTAATGTATCTTGATAAATTTCACTGCATAGAAAACAGGTTCCCATCTCTGATTTGTGTATATACAATGGATTTATCCATGGTAAAATTAAAAAGGTAAAGTCATTTCAAATAAGCATTTCCATCTCTGTATTTTCTGTAATTGACCTTGTCAAATTTTACTGCATAAAAAACAGGTTCCCATCTCTGATACGTGTATGTAAAATGGATTTATAAATATACATTTTAACAATGAGATGCTGTCAAATTATTAAATTTTGAAAAAAATTGTAAACATATGATTGCATGACTTTACCTTTTTAATTCTACCATGTATATATGTCCAATAAACTGGAAAGCCATCGTGACATCGTACTAAGGCATATTAGTGTAAAGGAAAACAAAGGGCAGCATTTGAGTGGGGCTCTGACATTACTTTATGATATGTCACCAAAAATGTCATGCTGATTATTGTTCGTCATATTCAAATTGAGAAGGTATAGACGTTTTTTCTGGTATAAGTCATCGGCTGTTTTTTGGAAAAGAACAAAGAAATTAGGTTGACCCAGTTGAAATTGAAAGAACAAAGGAGTGTAGGATGAACAAGTATAAATTATCAACAGAAATTGAACTAAATCAACCTAAAAATCCTTTGTTCTTTTACGAAGAAAACAGCCGATGACTTAAGATGAGAGTACATAAAAGGCTTTTTTGATTGGCTTAAGTCTTCGTAGAGGAACAAAGAAGTTTCAAGTTGACTTAGTTCGATTTTGGTACTACGCTCCTTTCTTCTTTTCCGAGGAAACTAACCAATGACTTAAGTTTGTTAAAAAAGCGTTTTACATTTAAGCCTTACCTTTAAGCCATTAAAAAAGCTCTTTTTATGTGCTTACACCTTTAGACCAGCAAAAAAGCTTTAATGTGCAAATACATAAAAGGCTTTTCTAACTGGCTTAAATCACTGGCGGGTTTCTTCGTAAAAGAACAAAGTCGAAGTAAAATTCTTTTGTTCTTTTACGAAGAAGCCAGGTGATGACTAAAGCGTGTAAATTATTTCAGCTTACATATACATAAAATGTTTTTTTGACTGTCTTCTTCGGAAAAGAACAAAGGAGCGTAAGCCCAAAATCGAACTAAGTCAACCTAAAACTTCTTTGTCCTCTACAAAGGAGCCAGCCGATGACTCAAGCCAGTCAAAAAAGCGTTTTATGTTTACTTACCTTAAGTCGTCGGCTCACTTCTTCGGAAAAGAACATTTTAAATTGACTGAGTTCAATTTCGGTCTAAAATTTAAGGTGAAAATACATAAAACGCTTTTTTTGATTTTGGCCCTACGCTCTTTTGTTCTTTTCCGAAGAAACCAGCCGATGACATAAAGTGGGAATACATAAAGCGCTTATCTGGCTGGCTTCTTCGGAAATGAACAAAGAAGCCTAGGGCCAAAATCGAACTAAGTCAACCTAAAACTCCTTTATTCATCTACAAGGAAGCCAGCCTACCTATAAGGTGCGAATACATAAAACTCTTTTTTGACAAAGAAGTTTTAGGTTGACTTAGTTCGTTCTTGGCCTTACGCTCTTTTGCTCTTTTTCGAAGAAGCCAGCCGATGACTTAAGCCAGTTAAAAAAGCGTTTTATGTATTCTCACCTTTAAGCTAGTCAAAAAAGCATTTTTTGTATTCTAAAAATATAAAAATATTAGAAGAAAGAAGATCTCAGATAATAAAAACAATTCGTTGCATTTGTTATTGGTAAATTTGAAGTTTTATGATACTAGTTTCAGGGTTATGTTTTTCAATTTTTATCGTTCTGCACTACCTTGTAATTATTGCATCAGGGTTGCTTTGTATTTTGAAAACACAGAGAAAAATTATTGTCCTATTCCAGAACCTGCACGAATTTACTTGTTTTGCAATTTTTTTCGATATCAAAAATAGGTTATCGTAGTAAAAAAATTTACATTCTTGCAGTTCTGGAACAGACCATATGTCATAATTAACAGGTCTTTTTTGCATTTGCATCATTATTTTTTTAGAATACTTAATACCAGAATACTTAATCTAATATAATAGGTGTTTGACCGCCATGCTTCAGCACTACATTCTGAATCCATTTGTATTGTTTGCGAACATCCGTGTAGAGGCCAAGCGTATTTCGCCGATTACACTCGACATCCAGAGTAACTATGCCATAAAGTATGCCATCGTGTACCAGAGGACTGCCGGAATCAGCTTGGCACAAACCTACACCAGTTGAATTTCCACAGATCATTTTTTTCGTAATAGGATATACGTCATCATATAATTTGCGGCAAACTCTGAGCGGCACAGTGGTAATTCTTGAAGCACCCAAAGACAATTCTGGACCATTATTTTCTTCAATACTCGCCCAGCCAGTTACTATAGTGTTTCGAGGAAATTTGGAAAACTCAGTGGATAAGCTGAGCGGTAATACACCTGAAGACCATTGAAATGGTTTATTGACTTGAAGCATTGCTATGTCGTTGTCCAAGGACCTGATTTTAAAACGTCTGTTTATGACCACAGTGGTAATGTGACGAATTTGACCACCTTTTCGGCAGTCTGTAGTCCCGAATCGTATGCCAAAACTTCCACCACCATTAACACAGTGGGCCGCTGTCACAATCCAATCACGGCTGACAATTGAACCCGCACAAATAAAGTAATTATTACGAAATAATGCAACATGGTAAGGGGCTTCTTCTATTTTCAACACTCGACTTCCAATAATTTTGTGTTTTTCACTAGCTTTACTATCGCCAACCGGCTCTATATCGAATGGTCCACTTGAATTGGCATTTAGAGATTTGAAAGCATTCACACCTTCTGGGCTCCCTTCCTCCAACCGAGCTTCGGTACTATTGGTATTGCTGCTGTCGCCCACATTGTTTGAGAAATTCGTATCAAACGTTCCACTCGAATTTGAAGATTTACTATCGAAATCATCTTCAGCGTTATTGAGATGAAAACTCCAACTTATCAATAATATTGTAATAAATTTAACGGAATTCATCTTTACCGATGAACGACACCTGTCTGAATAATTTTTGCAGATTTTGATGCAGATATTGACACAAACTAAATACACTTTAAATCGGAGCAATTTCAACGAAATAGAAATCGAATATTAAGAAGATGATAAATTTGGCAAGAGCCGCGATTCCAACCATAAAAACAATTTTCACCACAAAAGAATTTGAATTTAATGCGAATATTTAGCATAAATTAATATTTAAACATGCGAACAACCAGCAGATAATCATCATAATTATTCAAAAGTGCGAAAATAGCTAACTGTAAAAAATAATAAATATACAATATGAAAGCGGTGTGGGATGTAGAACCAAAAGTTATTTAGGTGAAATCGTTATTTCATATTTTAAAAATATGAGGATTATCTTTAGTGGATTTTAAAATCAATAATAAGTAAATAATAACGGAGATATATTCAAAGTCCCACCCATGGCATAATGAAGAAGGTAACATCAACATCAATCATAATTTTTTCAAAATTACACATTTGACAGCACCGCATTGTTGAAATGTTTATTCATAAATCCATTGTATATACACATATCAGAGATGGGAATCTGTTTTCAATGAAGTCATATTTGACAGAAAACGAATAGCCCGATGTTCTTATTAGAAATGAGACTACATTGAAATAATTTTACCACTTTACCATATCATGGTACAATTAAATAAAGGTAACCCCATTAAAAAATTAATATCCTGCTCGGCATGTTTCTGTAATTTACCTTGTCAACATTGGTTCCCATCTCTGACTTGAAAAAATATAATGGATTTAAGGTGATAATACATGAAACGCTCTTTTGGCTGGCTTCTTCGGGTGGGAACAAAGGAGTTGAGTTGACTTAGTTTGGCCCTACGCTCCTTTTTTATGTTCCGAAGAAGCCAGCCGATGACTTAAGCTGGGAATACATAAAGCGCTTATTTGGCTGGCTTAAGTCATCGGCTGGCTTCTTCGGAAATGAACAAAGGAGCCTAGGGCTAAAATCGAACTAGGTCAACCTAAAACTCCTTTGTTCATTTACGAAGAAGCCAGCCAAATATGCGCTTTATGTATTCCCAGCCTTAAGCCATTCAAAAAAGCCTTTTGTACTCTCACCTCTACTTCTAAAAGCATTATCAGACGGACTTAATGTTACATACTTGGTCTGTCCCAGAATTGCAAGAATGTAAAATTTTTTACTATAATAACCGATTTTTCATTTATGATATCGAAAAAAAATGCAAAAATTGTAGATTCTTGCAGGTTCTGGAACATATTACTTTACACACTCTAAAAAATCATATTTTTCAATTTGTTTTTTAAGATTTCACAAATTAATGCATAAAATTGTCTGTTTTTTTTTTTTTCATTATTCTAATTCTGGACATTGTTAACTAAAATATAATGCGGAAAAAATTATAAATATGTAAATTACGCAAAAAAATACTACACACCTTTTATTTATTTTTTCAGAAATTCGTCAAAAACGATACTTTTTTGCAAAGGTGAGAATGCATAAAACGCTTTTTTGACTAGCTTAAGTCGGCTGTCTTCTTCGGAAAATAACACAGGAGCGTAGGGCCAAAATCGAACTAAGACAACCTACAACTCCTTTGTTCCTCAACGAAAAGTCAGCTGATGACTTAAGCCAGTCAAAAAAGCGTTTTATGTATTTCCAGCCTTATGTATTTGCAGCCTTAGGTTTTCAAAGCGAATTGTTAACATGATATACTAAGAACTATTGTTGTCTATATATGTCTAACTATTGTTGTTGTTAAGCCAGCCAAATAAACGCTTTATGTATTCCCAGCTTAAAGAGCATATTTGGCTGGCTTAAGTCATCGGCTTGCTTCTTCGTAGATGAACAAACGAGTTTTAGATTGACCTAGTTCGATTTTGGCCCTAGTCTCCTTTGTTCATTTCCGAAAAAGCCAGCCGATGACTTAAGCCAGCCCGATAAGCGCTTTATGTATTTCCACCCTAAGAATGAAGAAGACTCAAATGAGAAATTACTTACTATGTTATGTACCGCCAAACAGCGCACAAAAAGATGGCGTCCCATTTGCCGGTACCTAACAACTACTTACTCATGCGTTTTATGTATTCTCGCCTTATATTGACAGATTTGTTGTTTGTGTACATTGTACATGTCATGGTAGAAGAATATAGGTAGGTGCATCAACGCGTGGGAACATTGATATGTCAACATTTTCAAAATGTTTTGTCAAAAATAAGTAGATTTTTAAACGTTTCCTTATACGACGCAAATCGGAGGTTGTTGTAATATGCATTTTTCAACAATTTTTATAAATTTCAATAATTTTTCATTCATCATTTTTAATTCTAAATTGGTTTGACAGTTCATTGTCCCAGCAGCTGCGTCGATGCGACTACCTGTATTCATCTACCATGGTACATGCATGGTACAATGATATCAAGGTAGGGCTCATGGTAGAAAAATACAGGTAGATGCATCAACGCTTGGGAGCATTGATATGTCAAAAATTTTTAAATTTCTTTTCAAATATAAGTAGATTTTTAAATGTTTTCTTATACGACAAAAATCGTGGGTTGTAAAGATATGCATTTTTCAACAATTTTTACAAATTTAAATAATTTTTCATTCAACATTTTTAATTCCAAAATTGGTTTGACAGTTCATTGTCCCAGCAGCTGCGTCGATGCGTATACCTATATTCTTCTACCATGGTAGGGCTATGATACCATATGATTTAATTTTTTTTATTTTCTTGGCTTAATATGTCATCTTTATTTGTTTATGTGAGTGTTTTCTTTTCAATAACAAAAAAATTGTTCAGAAAACATTCAAATTCGGATGTTTCCAAAATGTTCATTTCATCGTATGCATCGACAAAATCTAGAGTTTTTGTAGCGAAATAATCGTTTACAGATATATAGAATCTGGTTTTGAAAAGAAGTGTTGACCTTTCATTCAGTTATCGCGGTTTTCAATTATATATTCAAAATAAATGCAACAAGTTGTTTGATTTTTTATCGTTTTGGTACTAATTCTGACATTACAAGCCAAACAGGTAGACCTCTATACTTGCAATTTTTTCAAAGTTGACCTACCTTCTCTTCATTGTACCCATGGTACAATGAATTCAAGGTAGGGTAGAACTACCATAGGATTTAATTTTTTTTATTTTTCTGGCTTAATATGTCAACTTAATTTGTTTATGGGTGCGTATTCTTTTCAATAATAAAGAAATTGTTCAGAATATATTCAAATTCGGGTGTTTTCAAAATGCTTATTGCAATGTATGCATTGACAAAGTCTACAGTTTTTGTCGCGAAATAAACCGTAAGAGATATATAGAACATGATTTTGAAAAGAAGTGTTGACCTTTCATTGAGTTATCGCGGTTTTCAATTATTTATTCAAAATAAATGCAACAAGTTGTTTGATTTTTTTATTGTTTTGTTACTAATTCTGACATTACAAGCCAAACAGGTAGACCTCTATACTTGCAATTTTTTCAAAGTTGGCCTACCTTCCATGGTACAATGAATTCAAGGTAGGGCAGAACTACCATATGATTTAAATTTTTTTATTTTTCTGGCTTAATATGTCAATTTTATTTGCTTATGTGTGTGTCTTCTTTTCAATAATAAAAAAATTGTTTAGAAAATATTCAAATTCGGGTGTTTTCAAAATGCTTATTGCAACGAATGCATCGACAAAATCTGCAGTTTTTGTCGCGAAATAAACCATAAGAGATATATAGAACATGAAATTGAAAAGAAATTTTGACCATTCATTCAGTTTTCGCGGTTTTAAATTATTTATTCAAAATCAATGCAACAAGTTGTTTGCTTTTTTATTGTTTTGGTAGTAATTCTGACATTACAAGCCAAACAGGTAGACCTCTATACTTGCAATTTTTTCAAAGTTGACCTACCTTCTCTTCATTGTACCAAGCTACCTTCTCTTCATTGTACCATGATTGTACCATGAGAATCACTATCAAAACAATAAAAAAGCAAAAAAACTTGTTGCATTGATTTTGAATAAATGATTTAAAATCGCGAAAACTGAATGAAAGGTCAAAATTTCTTTTTAAAATGATGTTCTATATATCTCTTATGGTTTATTTCGCGACAAAAACTGCAGACTTTGTCGATGCATATGTTGCAATAAGCATTTTGAAAGCACCCGAATTTGAATATTTTCTGAACAACTTTTTTTGAAAATAATACGCACACATAAACAAATGAAGTTGACATATTAAGCCAAAAAATTAAATTATATGGTAGTTCTGCCCTACCTTGAATTCATTGTGCCATGATGTATACCATGTTAGAATAAAGAAGATAAAGTCATTTCAAATAATAATTTCCATCTTTTCGTTTTATGTAACTGAGCTTGTCAAAACATTATTCATATTAACTGTCACAACAAAAGCAAGAGTTGTTTATTTACTTTTATAAACCATTCAAATATTCAATTAATTTTTTGAAATGAAATGTTTGTGGCAAATATTCATAGTGGTTAAAGGTATTACGTTGTCGGCTCCATCCATGATCAACCCACCATGTGTCCCATAAATAAAAAGGTCGGCCTTTTTATCATGATTAATCTTGATCCAATTGTCTTTAAATTTCGTACATCACAATCGGATATGAAGAACGCATAGAATGGACCTCTCCTGTTTGTACCTTCCCCAGAGGTCAAAATTTTGAATAACAATGACTCCCATAAAAGGCAATTTGAACGGCACACTCCCAAATTTCCATGAGTGCAGGATCTAGAGTGGAAATGGGATACATCGGTCCTTCTGGTTCCTTCTGTGGAGAGAAAGTTGTCGTCAAACACGAGATCACTTCTGTTGATACCTCCACCACAACGGGTAAAAATTTTGTAAACCCATAAACCTCACAAAATGTAAAAGAATCATTCTATTCGTGTCAAACTTTGCGAATCCCAGTACGTGTGCATACACAATATCTGATGTAAAGATGGGATGCAGCTCCGTTTGGAAAATTGTGGGATGCCTGTCCCAAAAATTATAAGATTCACATGCTTGAGACCATCATTTACGGTATTCTTCGGATTTGGGAACAATAAAAAAATCATTCAGGCCAAAATTGATTTTTTTGCAAAGAAAACATTTTTTTCATATTTTGGAATTCAAAATTTACGTTTTTATTTTGTATTTGAATTTATGGTTGTCAAAATCATTTTGACAGTGTAATGTTGTCATATGGACAATTTTGAAAAAAAAAATGTAAACATATGAGTTGTGTTCCAGAACCTGCAAATTAGTAC